TTTTCTACTCCCACTGGCCACAGTTTAGTCCCTGTAAAGTCTGAAGGACAGTAACCTGGCCCATTGTTTAGAAAGTTTGGAGACCCCTGATCTAATGCTTTGGCAATTGGCCATGTAATATCCACTAATGGTTATGATCTGCCATCCTCAGCTCTATCGATGAGACCATAATTTAGTACCCTATAGAATATTCTGAATGCTGTAACGGTCTCAGTTAATAACCTAAGACCACTGTGGATGCATACGTGTAACTGCTGGGCATTAAAACTGACTTTTTCTCTCAATCTCTCTCTCTCTCTCTCTCTCTCTCTCTCTCTCTCTCTATATATATATATATATACATAGTATATGCTTTATACAGTAGGCAAGAGAAAAAAATCACTTGTAAGCAAACATATCACACAGAAACAAAAATAATTAACTTGGCCCTGGCCTCTGACCCTTCCAGGAGGCAGGGGTGATATCACTGTACCTTCCTGCAGAATTGGGAAATCAGATTCTGCAGGAAAGCACTCCACACCATTGCAAGAGTGCATTCTGCTCGGATTTTGAGCTATCCCAGGAGACAACAGTTAGGCATGGTGATGTCACCCATGCCTCCTAAAAGCATTTGAAGTCAAGGGCCAAGTTAAAGCAGAACTAAACCCATCGATTTAACAGTTTAAAAAAACAGTTTCATTCCAGGAATGTCAGGAATGCTAATGGTCACAGTTGCTTGTGCTCACAACCAAACTGTCAAACCTTCAAATGTATGGTGTCATAACTGATCACATGTGCAGCACCACAGCAGTTGCAGATCATACAGATGCTGAGATAGCACCTTCCTATGGCACCATTTGCGTGACTGTTTAGCCATGCTGCCGATTCTATTGATTACAGCAGCTGGGATTGGTAAAGCTGCGGCTGCCGAGTCCGTACACTGCAATGAAAGCCTGATGGTGCCCGCAGCTATTCCTGCCTGTTCTTACAGCCAGTGATCACCTGCAGCGGACGTGGCTGGATGCGCTTTGTGATCTGTAAACTTTTGATTGGTTATTGGATGAACTTTCATATATTGTTCCACCTGCCGATTTCTGATCTGGGTCTCTGAGCGCAGGAGGTGTCGTATTTGTTTGCTTGCAGTGAGAACAGACATGAATAGCCGTGGCCACCATCAGCCTGTCATTGCATGTAATCAGTAGATTCCTGTTGCTGGCATTGGCAGCATTAAAAAAAATGCCCCTGCGAATGGTGCTTAACCTCCCTGGAGGTATTCCCGAGTGTAGCTCGGGGTAAAGTTTCAGCACCATAAGCGGTAACCCCGAGCTACACTCGGGAATACCATGCAGCGCTGCTGCGGGATCTCTTCTGCACTTACCTTGTCCTGCGCTCCCGCGATGTCCCCCCTGCAGTGTCCCCTGTAATGTCCTCCGGCTGATGCCGGCATCTGTCTTCTGGGTTCTGTTCCCTGTGATGTCAGGACGTACGGGGGACGGAACTGGCTGGAAATTTGAAAGTTTTAAAAGTGACATTCACTAAATACACTAAAATCACATAGTAAAACATTACCGTACCAAACCATTTCACATACATTTTGTCCCTAATGCTTTGTCCTATGCCCTGCCTGCATTTTTACTGTTCTTTCTGCCTGGAAACTGAGAAATGTCCATGGTGTCCAAAAAGCGTCCCTTTAGGTCAAAATCGGTTTTAGACCAGCTAGAGAACAGCGATAGTAAATCAGAACCACTTGCAGAATTGAGTGATAATGATTCGTGGGGGAAATTCGTCATCAGACACTGAAAATGATTCTGCTACTGAGCTCAGTGATGTGCAAACTTGGCGCTCTATTTAAAATTTCAGTGTTTTTGGTTTGATTATATTATTGAATTAAATTTATTATTGTTATATTATTTTTTTTTTTACGATTATTTATTAAATTAAAATTTATGATTTCGTGTTTCAAATTTTATCATACCCGGGATGTTTACTAGACTCTTGTTCGGACAGATTTCATTGAGTTATTCCTAAAAATGACAGGCCTACAATAAAAAAAGACATATCTCCATGCAAAAAAATGTACCGCTTTGAGCACAGAAATACTGACATAATCAGACCGCTAGGGAGGCTACATTCATCTTTGCAGGGGACACGTTAGTGTATTTATTTTAATGACAGGGTCACTTTAAGAAGAAGCCAGGGACAGAGGGTTTCCTGCAAACGAGGAACAGATGGGACCTTCTGTATGTATACACCTCAGCAGGCTGCCTGCATATCACTCTCATTGTACATGAATGACTTCATCTGCTACAGCAGCCAGCCCGGCTCCAGGGCCGCCTCTTCCTGCTCTCGGACGGGGCTGTGACGTAGACAAGATGGCGGCGCACAGCTTGAAGCGCTCGCTACCTCTTGTGGTTGTTCTTGGGGCCACCGGGACCGGCAAGTCCAAACTGGCTGTACAGTTAGGTCGGAGCCTGGGAGGGGAGATAATCAGTGCCGACTCCATGCAGGTAACGAGGGTGTGGAGCAGGGAGGGCATGCTGTGTGTACTGCTACTGCACCAGTGTGTTGTATTACAAAGTTCTTCTCATTACACCAGCCATTAATTCACACTGGAGATGAGCACATTTCAGGGTCAGTATTAAAGGCATAGTACACCTTTTCGGGAAAAAAAGAAAAATAGAAAAACATATTAAGACAGAAATTAGTTTTGGAGGCTCCAAAACATTGCAACTGCAATCAGTGGCTCGTAGGTGCAATGCACAGGCCCCTGCAGACTATTCCTCCAGCCCCACTGCTCAAAAAAATGAAAGGAACACTTTGTAATCAGAGAATGAGCATGAAGTCTATTAAACTCCTGGGATATTGACCTGGTCAGTTCAGTAGCAGAGGGGGTTGTTAATCAGTTTCAGCTGCTTTGGTGTTAATGAAATTAACAGGTGCACTAGATGGGCAACAATGAGACAACCCCCAAAACAGGAATTGTTTTATAGGTGGAGGCCACTGACATTTTTTTTCCCTACTCACTTTTCTGTTTTTCACTAGTTTTGCATTTGGCTAGGGTCAGTGTCTCTACTGGTAGCATGAGGCGGTACCTGGACCCTAAAGAGGTTGCACAGGCAGTCCAACTCCTCCAGGATGGCACATCAAATACGTGTCATTGCCAGAAGGTTTGCTGCGTCTCCCAGCACAGTCTCAGGCTAGGTTCACATATGTGCGGGTGGTGCAGCTGCGGGACCCACGCAAAAGTACCTGCAGCCGCACCACCCTTACAGAGCAATGTGGGACCCGCGGGCAGATGCCATTAATTCTAATGGCACACCGCCCGCACTGGAAATCGCAACCGTACAGGGAACCTCAGTTCCTGTGCAGGGACTACTTCTTTGCGTGTCCCAGGGTACAGGAGTCCATTCAAATGAATGGGCTCTTGTGCCCGCACAAAGCATGGCCGCAGATATGTGAACCAGGGGTCAAGGTGGAGATTTGCATCCGCGGCTGTCAATCACCGGGTCCCAGCCGGTGATTACCCGCTGGATACTGAGGATCTCCAACGGGGAGGAGGGCTGCTTTGTTTACTAACAGTTCTCCCTGTCGGCTCAAGCGCACTGCTCTGGATGGCTGCTCTGGACAGCCATCCAGAGCAGTGTGCTTACAGTGAAGCACCAACACACCGCTCCCTAGTAAAACACTCCCAGCACACAGTTAACCCTTTGAGCGCCCCTCATGTTAACCCATTCCTGCCCTGAGCCATTAGTACAATGTCAGTGCTTTTTTTTTTTTGGCACTGATCACTGTAGTGGTGTCACTGGGGATGTCAGTCACACCAAGTCAGTTCCCCACAGTGTCAGAATTCCCGCCTCAGTCCCGCTATAAGTCACTGATACCCGCCATTATTAGTTAAAAAAAAAAAAATTCCATTATCTATAGTGCCATTTGTAAATGCTATAACTTACACGTAAACCAATTAATTTACAAGTGTTGGGATTTTTTTTCGCAAAGACATGTAGCAGAATACATTTTTTTGGCATAAATTGATGACTAAATTTTGATTTAAAAAAAAATAAAATTTTACTGGACATGTTTAACTGCTTCCCGCCCGCCATATAAGGAAATGATGGACGGGCAGTGGTTCTCTCGTTGTGGGAGGATGTCATATGACGTCCTCCCACTTTAACCACGCTTGCGCGATGATCTGTGGTGTGCTGTGTCCCTGGGAAACAGCGGATCACTGATCAGCGGAAAGAGCCAATGACGTCGGCTCTGTCATGTGATCAGCTGTGTCCAATCACAGGTGATCACATGTAAATAAGGAGATGCCTGTTATTGGCGTTCTTCTCCTCACGAGCTGTCACGCTGACAGCTCGTGAGGAGAGGAGAACCGGTAATGGGCATTCCTCAGAGGGGACATCTACACTGATCATCAAGGCACTGATGATAAGTGTAGCCCCATCACTGCCACATATCAGTGCCTACCAGTGCACATCATTGCCACATATCTGCCCATCTGAGCTGCCTATCAGTGCCAGTCAGTGTTGCCAATCAATGCCCACCATTGCCCCACCATTGCCTCCTCAGTGCAGCCTATCAGTGCCCATCATCGCAGCCTCATTAACACACATCAGTGAAGGAGAAAAATTACTTATTTACAAAATTTTCTAACAGAAACTAACAAAAGAATTTTATTTCAAAATTTTCAGTTTTTGGTTTGTTTAACAAAAAAATAACTTCCCTGTGGTGATTAACCACTAGCCTACAGGGCACTTATACCCCCTTCCTGCCCAGGCCTTTTTTCAGCTTTCAGCACTGTTGCACTTTGACAATTGCGCAGTCATGCAACACTGTACCCATATGAAATTTGTATAATTTTTTTTGAGACAGATAGAGCTTTCTTTTGGTAGTATTTAATCACCTCTGGGTTTTTTATTTTTTGCTAAACAAACCAAAAACAACTGAAAATTTTGAAAAAAAAAGTTTTTTTTCTTAGTTTTTGTTATAAAATTTTGTAAATAAGTGATTTTTCTCCTTCACTGATGTGCGTTAATGAGGCTGTAGTGATGGGCACTGATAGGTGGCACTGATGAGGAGGCACTGATGGGCATTGACAGGCATCACTGATGGGCACTGAAGGCAGCACTCATATATGGCACTGATAGGTGGCACTGACTGGCATTGATAGGTGGCACTGAAAGGCAGCTCAGATGGGCACTGATATGTGGCATTGATGTGCACTGGTAGGCACTGATATGTGGCACTGATGGGCACTGGCAGGTGGCATTGATGGGCACTGGCAGGTGGCACCGCTGGGGCTACACTGATCATCAGGGCACACTGATCATCAGTGCCCTGACGATCAGTGTACATGTCCCCTCTGAGGAATGCTGATTACCGGCTCTCCTCTTCAGCTATCAGTGTGACAGCTCGTGAGGAAAAAAATGCCGATAACCGGCATTTCCTTATTTACATGCGATCAGCTGTGGTTGGACACAGCTGACCACATGACCGAGCCGACGTCTTTGGCTCTTTCCGTTGATCAGTGATCCACTGTGTCTGAGGGACACAGCGCACCACCGATCGCCGTACTGCGCACCCCTGGAGCCGCGCACGTGCAGTTAGAGTGGGAGGACATCATATGAACAAGAGAACTGCCTTGCGCCCCGTCATTTCCTTATATGGTGGGCGGGAGGCGGTTAAATACCACCAAAAGAAAGCTCTATCTGTCTAAAAAAAAAAAAATTCTAAAAATTTCATATGTCATTCAAAGTGCAACAGCGCTGAAAATTGGCCTGGGCAGGAAGGGAATGAATATGCCCAGTAGACAAGTAGTTAATAGCAAAAAAGTCAAAAAAGTTTTTTTTTCTCTCAAAATTGTCGGTGTTTTTTTTTTCTTCTTTTTTTTTTTTTTAATAGCACGAAAAAGTACAGGAGATCAAATACCACCGAAAGAAAGCTCATTTCGTGGGATAAAAAGGATGTAAATTTAATTTGGGTGCAGCGTTGCATGAACGCACAATTGTCAGTTAAAGTAACGCAGCGCCCTAATGCAAAAATGGCCTGGTCAGGAAGGGGAGTAAATCCTCAGGAGGGCAAGTGGTTAAAAGAACATGTGACTCCAGAGTCGCACCAAAAACAATGCGGGTGCGTTTTGAGGCATTTTCCATTTATTTCAATGGGAAGGTGTGTTTTTTTTTGTTTTGTTTTTTTTCTAGCGCACAAAAAATGCAGCACACAGGATTTTAAACCGCAACAGATCAGTGTGAAGAGTTCCATAGCAAAAGCATAAGGAAAATGGATCAGTGTGAAAGCAGCCTTAGAGGCAACAGTAAAATCAGTCTGTATATGCAGTAAATCAGGCTTGTTATATTCACCGTGGAACCTAAAGGGTTAATCCACATTGTGTAAAAACACAGTTTGATCCTGTCTTCTCTGATCCTCCCCTTCTTCCACTGTCCCCAATCCATCTGCTGATAGGACAGAGCTCTAGGAGTCATTCTGCACATGTTCAGTTTGGTGTCTATTGCAAGAAGTGTGTGTTTGTGTTTTTTTTTTTTTTTTTTCTTTTAGGAGGGTGTGTGTGATCAGCAATATCCAGACAGAGGGTCAGGGGTCATGCAGCCTCATAGGACAGTCAGAGCATAATGAATACTCCTCCTACAAGCTTTAACCAGTTCTCGGCAGGACACTGATAGAAGTCACAAGACTGCTATATACTGCTGATGTGAAAAGATATTTAGCCCCTTTCACACATGCTGATCATTTGTCTGTTTTTTCATTCATCCATTGATGGATGAAAAACGGACATCAATGCATCTCTATGGAATCATTGATGTAAATGGATGATTATCCATTTACATCTGCATCCATCAACATCTGTTTTTTGAAATGGATCAAAGTTCTATTTTTGTTCTGTTAAAGCAGAACTTTACCCATAACAACTTGAAAAAAAATGTTTTTTTAGCAAGGAACATATATTCCACATTAATAATTATTCTCCCAAAATTATTATGTGCTGTATATTGCCTTCAGCATTGTTCCTGTTTCTTCTTGCTGGAGGATGCCATTTTGCTGAAGCCCAGAGCCCCTGATCAGCAGTAAATCGTAAATAGGAACTAAACACTTCGATTTAACAGTTTCAAAAAACAGTCACATTCCTGGAATGTGGGGTTTCCTTATCCTTGGTTCATATGTGCGGGTGGTGCAAAATCCGTGCAGCCGCACCACCCGCACAGAGGAATGTGGACCCACGGGCGGGTGCTATTAGTTTAATGGCACGCCACCCGCACTGGAAAACTCAACTGTACTGGGAACCAAGGTTCCCCTGCGGGCTGCATTTTCAGAAGAAGTGAAGGGACTTCTTCCCTGTGTGTCACGGGAGTCCATTTAAATGAATGGGCTCTCGTGCCCGCGCAAAACACGGCCCTCACGGCTGCATATATGTGATCCAGGGGTAACTGTCACATTTGCTTGTGTCCTAAACCAAACTGTCAAACCATCAAATGGCTGGTGTCATAACTGATCATATGTGCAGCATCATGGCAGATGCAGTACAAACAGAAGCTGCTTTCTTGGCTGTATAGGGGATAGGAGGGTTTAATTCTGCTTTAAGGCTACAGCAGATCGGCCTCTACAGATTCAGCAGTGCCTAAAAATGGAGAGCAACCGAGCATGTGCAGAGCAGGTGAGACACTTTATTACTGGATTTTACAAAGCATAGACACTTATTTTTCAAGGGTAAGTTCATCTTTACACAAAAAATAATCAATGCAAATTTTTTCACAGGTAAAGAAATGAGCATCTATTATTTTTTTGTGTTAGGATCCTCGAAAGCATTGCACCAGCGATCAGCAGATCGCTGATGCCATGCAGGCGTCCTTCAGACTGTCAATGTATCTGCTTGCTCGTACATCCCGTATGCAGGGCCGTCTTTAATATTGATTACTGCCACTGATGCCAGGAAAATTTCCAGTCCCACTGGCCACAGTCTGGCCCCTCTAGTCTGAAGGACAATAAAATGACCCTTTGTTTAGAAAGTTTGGAGACCCCAGGCCTAGGCGATTGCAGCTGAAGTGGGAACGGGTACCTGTCAATTTCGGGTACCCGCTCCCCAAAGGTGCCAATCCTTAATGGGGAGTGGGGGACCAGTCTTTTGGGTGTTTCTCTGCTTTAAATATGGCCCTGCCCGTGTGGGCAAGCTGATACTTATGACAGGAAGAATCCAGGAACAACCACAGCGCCGGGGTAGTTCATTGAGGAATACAACCCAACAGTCGCTAAGGCTGTCGGGACCTGTAGTCCATTCATTCACAAAGGACTGTGAATGAATTATGCGAAGCCCTGCAGGGCCACTCTGTTTTTGAAAAGTGACAGCTAGTATTGGGAAAAATCACTTCTGTGCAGGAACTTCCTGTAATGAACCAATTACTGTTGCTCTCTCTCCTTGTTTAGAATAACTTGTCTCCACCACCCCCTTGTAGTTTTTTCTGGCAGCTGTAGTAGGTAGGTTTGCTGGGCCCCTCCCACGGCTCTGCTCAGGCTATGTGCAGGACAGTGATGATGTCCCTACTTCTTTTATAAGGTAATATCTGGCTTTGCAAAGACCCCTGGTCCAGACAAAGTGGGTTTGTATCCTTTGTGACTAAAGAGGAATATATTTACATGAGCATTTTTGAGCCTGGAGCTCACTTTTAACTTATGAGGATGGGCTGTGCTCTTTCCTTAGATATATGTGCTTCCTGTGCTCTGTATACTAGAACCACACAGTTCACCATTCACTTATATCACATTGCTCTGCTACTGACCAGCATGAGGGACACAAGGCTGAAAAACGATTTGTGCAGACTCTCCTATGTCACTGGCACCTAAAAGCTGAACTGCAGCCTTCCTTGCAGTCTTGCATACTCTACAGAAGTTGTACAGGCTCCCCTCCTGCACTGAAAATGCTTACTCTGATTTCACTGTACAGTGTGAGCTTCTTACAGTGTGCATAGGAAGCTGCAGCAAGTTAGAACCCACCCCATTTCCTGGCTGCAGGACATCCAATATCCGCTAACTCTTTTTTCCTAGCCTGGTCCATCCCTTTTTTATTTATTAGATTTCAGTTCTTTCCACCATGGAAGCTCAGCGTCACCTGGGCATTGCCTAGGGCGGTCTGCGTGGAGGTGTTTCTGAAACAGGAAATGGAAGTGAGATTTCACTGCAAAAAGAAAAGATCCCTGGCAGGGGTCTTAACACTTCCTTACTCTATGCTAAACTCAAAAGTTGGTTACACGTACCCCTTTTTTTTAATTAAAATTGATCAACCAAACCTTTGTCATCACAACATTATTCAGTACTCTGTCAAACAGGCAACTGTGGGCAGGTTGTGAATCCTCTGAAGTTCTATAGTTGGCCTATGAGATCTATGTAAACTGTTTTAGTTTAGACTTTAGGATCCATGTAAATAGTTTGGTTAAGACTTTGAGATCCTTGTAAATGGGTTCGTTCAGACTTTTAGATCCATGTATATGCTTTCTTTGAGACCTTGAGATTCATGTGTGTTGTTTTGTTGAGACTTTGAGGTCCATGTAGATGGGTCAGCAACCAGTAGATCACAATCTACTAAATCCCAGAGCATCAGAGTGCAGTGCAGAAGGACTACTTGTAAAGTTGAAGCTGTAGTAGGGAGCAAGAACCGCATAAGCCAATGCCTCTTCTGTAGTGATACCAACTGCACTCTACCTCTTATCCCGGCTAGAGGTCTCCCGAGTGGTGCCAGCAGCAGGAGAGAAGAACTCTTCACAGCCAGGTGACTGGTAGATTGTGATCTGGGCTTGTTGACCCGAAATCCCAGAGCATCAGAGTGCAATGCAGAGGGACTACTTGTAAAGTTGAAGCTGTAGTAGGGAGCAAGAGTCGCATAAGCCAATGCCTCTTCTGTAGTGATACCAACTGCACTCTACCTCTTATCCCAGCTAGAGGTCTCCCGAGTGGTGCCAGCAGCAGGAGAGAAGAGCTCTTCAGGTCAGTGTGAAGCAATACACTGAGCATAACAGTCTGCTTTCACACTAATGTGCTGCGGATTACCTGTATTATGGGTGCAGTGCATCTGCGACTTTCATTGGTTAGCTGCACTTTGCCATAGACTTCTATTATATTCTGCGTGTTTTGTGCACTTTCTGAAAGGATTTGTTGTTTGGGGGGGGGGGTAAAACCCCATAGTTAAGACGTGTTTTCACCCCAACCGCACCCCCTTTAGCTGCAGTGGCCAGGGGTGTACAAGTGCCGCAGCAAGGGTTATATGCCCTGTCATGGTTGGTGGGTGTAGCACCTGCCAAGTGTGACCCATTCAAGTGAATGAGACTACTCTGTAAGTGCCCTGGAACCTTGTGCAGTACAGCAAACAAAGAGTTAAAGCAGGGAGCGTTGTGTTGCTTCTCACCACCTGCTTTAACCCCTTGGACCCTGCAGAAGCAGGCAGCTGTGGGGTGCTTGCAGAGTGGCCCCATCTACTTGAGTGGGTTGTGATTGGCAGACGGTACCACCCATAAAAGCAGCAGGGGGTTAATTCATGTTGCGGTACGTGTGCACCTTTGGCTGCGGCCTCAGCAGCTACTGGGGGTAGGCATTAGGAGTGATAAAATTGCAGGGTTATGTGTGTATGAGCCCTAAGGGTGCTTCTGCCGAATGCAACTAAGGGCTCATTCACTGTTCACTTCAGGCACTGCTGCGCCTCTGAAAAGTTATCTGAGTGTGTTTGAGAGGTGGTGATGAGGCGATATGTTGTCTCCTCACCACCTGATTTAAACCCATGATTGTCGTGCAATGCACTTGCTGCGACCCGATAGTACAGCGATTAGCGGTTTAAATCGGGTGGAAGTGTGCGTCACTGTGCCCGGTGATCTTTGACTTCTCCCATGTTGTTCAGGTAGATCTACACCTGTTTGTTTGCCCCTGTTGTAGATGGCTTTGTTGAGGCCCTTGTAGATGGTTTTGTTGAGGCCCTTGTAGATGGTTTTGTTGAGGCCCTTGTGGATGGTTTTGTTGAGGCCCTTGTGGATGGTTTTGTTGAGGCCCTTGTGGATGGTTTTGTTGAGGCCCTTGTGGATGGTTTTGTTGAGGCCCTTGTGGATGGTTTTGTTGAGGCCCTTGTGGATGGTTTTGTTGAGGCCCTTGTGGATGGTTTTGTTGAGGCCCTTGTGGATGGTTTTGTTGAGGCCCTTGTGGATGGTTTTGTTGAGGCCCTTGTGGATGGTTTTGTTGAGGCCCTTGTGGATGGTTTTGTTGAGGCCCTTGTGATGGTTTTGTTGAGGCCCTTGTGGATGGTTTTGTTGAGGCCCTTGTGGGTGGTTTCGTTGAGGCCCTTGTGGGTGGTTTCGTTGAGGCCCTTGTGGGTGGTTTCGTTGAGGCCCTTGTGGGTGGTTTCGTTGAGGCCCTTGTGGGTGGTTTCGTTGAGGCCCTTGTGGGTGGTTTCGTGCAGACTTTTAGATGCTTGTAAACTCTTTCAGTACAAATGGATATCAAAAATATAAGCATAGCTCTCCAAAATCAGGTCTTGTGCTGCTTTTTTGAGCTGTTTTACCATTTAAACTTTGTCCTCAATTTTTGCTAATAATGTTTTGACCTATTTCTTTCTAATGTTCTGAAATTGTAATCCATGGAGCGATACTGACAGTTTGTACTATAGTTAAGTGTTCTTGCAAGAACACTTATTGTTATCTCACAAATATATTCTTATAGCTAAATTTTCCACGCTAACTCCTCCCACAGTTTTTACACTACAAAGACAAGTAATATATCAAAACATGCGGATTGTTCTCGATTGGATTGCTATTACTTTGTGGAATGTTTCGCCGAATGGTTCACAAAATATCTCTGTTTTTGTGGTGAAATTTTCCCATAGGAATGAATGGAGCAACTTCAGTGGGAGCTGACAAAACTAGAGTGTGGAAGGAAAAATCAGGACATGATTTCTAAACTGCCATCACTCCCTCATTTTCAAGCCCACCTACACATATCTTATATCAAAATGTTCAGCTATACCTGCTGCCACTAAAAATGTCCACGGCTAAGCCATAGTCCTGATAGTTTTTCACAATATGACCTTTTGTTTGCAACTCACGCCGCCCATTGACTTTCATTGAAACTTCACTCACAGCCACCTGAAATTTAAAGGGACGTTTTTAAACTGCGACTGTGCCTTCATTTTTAATATTTCAGAGACATACTATGCATCAAAATGTAGGTCTGGGTCTTGTGATTCACAATATAAAGCTTTTCACTGTAGGATTTATAGTTTTAAAACTACAACCATTTGAAGATGGTAACCACCAGTGAAGTGAGAAAGTTGGAGCAGTGTGTTTATAAAAGCTCTTCTCGGCTTGCTGTGAGTGAGTTGCCATAGCAACCGAAGGTGAGTCACCAGGAAGCAGAGTGACCAAAGCTACAGTGTGAGCTGCAAAATAAAAGTTGAAATGCATTTCTTCATGCTTGCCATGTGCGCTGTTTACATTTGATCAATCACTTGGTTAGGGTTGGATGCAAGAACACTTCACACAATTTCCCCAGAAATTGTACCTTTTCTAGTTTTTATTTATTCTTTCAGGTATACCAAGGCTTGGATATTATCACAAATAAAGTGACCTCTGAGGAGCAGCAACTCTGCAAACATCACATGATTAGCTTTGTGGATCCTCTTGTCACCAATTTTACAGTTGTCGATTTCCGGAATAAAGCTATTGCTCTGATATCCTTTTTGTTAGCACATGCTATGCAGGCTTAAGCTGGACATAGATTGAAAAAAAACAAAACGGGCTTGTTGGAAAAAATTTTTTGGATTAACGCTGATTGGTGTGTTCTAACAGTAGAGGAATCCCTACTGTCAGAATATAACACAGAGGGGAGGATTCCTCCATCCACCTCACTTGTGTAGGGGGGGGGGGGGGGGGGCGGGAGATAATCTGTTCAATTGTTTTGTTTTTTTCGTTTTATGTTTTTGTGTTTGATCAGATGCACAAAGCAATGCCATATGTTTATGGGAGATGTTTTAACTGCCTAAGAATTCATTCTGTGACTCCAATGTTGTGATAGAGACCTCCCTGCTGGCCAGGACAGCTTGGTCATAAACCTCTACTGTTGCAGCAACAGCACAGCTTGGTCAGGAACAATAGGCCAAAACACATCCCTGGCCTGTGAACTCGCCAATAAATTTACTCTGTCGCTAGGCATACAGTTTTGAGAAGAAGCCTACCAGTCTCATGGCCAGTGACTCCTATCCTTTCTTAAAGAGATGCGGCTTCCACAGCACTTTCAGCACTTGAGATGCTTCTAGGTATGTTTGGTGCATGGTTGCTGTCTGCATCCTGTGAGTCCAGGGCTCAGACAGTCCCAGAAATAGGTCAGATGCAGGGGCGGACTGACAACTCATGGGGCCCCCAGGCAATAGGGGATCATGGGGCCCCTGTGTCCTTGCCCAAACTCAAAAAAAAGGTACCAGGGGCATCTCATGGGGCCCCCTACTGACCCCGGGCCCTCGGGCAGTGCCTGAGTTTCCAAATGGTCAGTCCGCCCCTGGTCAGATGTATGAAACCTTTTGTTTTGCAATCTACTTCTTTTTTTAAAAAAAAAATTGGGTAGCGACAGTTATTTTAAGACTAAAGGCAAAACGTTTTTTTTTGGTTGGTTTTGGACACAGTGGAGATGAGGATTAGAACACCTATCCGGTTTTCATTGCAGTCTGTGCCCCTGTTAGGGAAATTTACTATTTGTCCTGTTTACTATTATTGAAAGTGAAAGAAACCCCAGATTTGGGTTGTCCCTAGAAAAGTAATAAGGGGAAATTTTCCAAGAGGGACACTTGTTCTGGTGACCTGGGGGTCCCCAAGGAATTCCCTTAATTTGCAGAGATTTTCTCACTTCCTGTTTTGGTTATGGAACAGCAAGTGAAGGTGAATCTCCCCAATGGGACACGGATGGCAAAAAAGAAACTGACAGAGGTTATAACCCTCCCTTACTCTTTCCAAAATGGGGGGGGGGGAAAAAGGTTTGCCTATAGTTCTACTTTATCCGCTTTCTGACCGCCCTATAGCAGAAATACTGCTACAGGGTGGCATGGGTGTGCAAAATCTTGTGTGTATATACGAGATTTTGCATTTCCAAATAGGAGGCTCGTGCACTCCCTACCCTCACCAACATTCGCGGCTGTCAATCACCAGGTCCCGGTTGGTGATTACTCACCGGCGCCCAGTGGTTCCCAAGGATCTCTGATGGGGAGGAGAACTGTTTGTAAACAAAACAGTTTTCCTCCCTGTCAGCTTGTGCACACTGCTTTGCATGGCTATCCACAGCACAGCCATACAAAGAAGTGTGCTTACAGTGAAGCACAAACACACAGTCCCATAGTAAAACACACCCAGCACACAGTTAACCCTTTGATCTCCCCTCATGTTGACCCCTTCCTGCTCAGTGCCATTAGTACAGTGTCAGCGTGTGTGGTGTTTTTTTTTTTTATTGGTGTCACTTGGGATGTCAGTGACACCAAGTCTGTTCCTCCTAGTGTCAGAATGCCCACCACAGTCCCGCAATAAGTCGCTGATCGCTGCAATTATTAGTTAAAAAAAACTATATACCGCCATTTGTGAACGCTGTAACTTTCATATAAACCAATCTACACATATTGGGATTGTTTTAGCAAAGACATGTAGCAGAATACATTTGTGGCCTAAATTTATAACGAAATTTGATTTTTTTTTTTCCATTTTTTTTTCCATTTTTTTTACTGGATATGTTTAATAGCAAAAAGTAAAAAATATTGTTTTTTTTTTTTTTCTCAAAATTGTTGGTCTTTTTTTTTTTAATAGCGCAAAAAAATGAATGCACAGGCGATCAAATACCACTGAAAGAAAGCTCAATTTGTGGGAAAAAAAGGATGTAAATTTTATTTGGGTGCTGTGTTGCATGACCGCGCAATTTTCATTTAAAATAACTCAGCGCTGTAACGCATAAAATGGCCTGGTCAGGAAGATGGGTAAATCCTCTGGAGGGCAAGTGGTTAAAAATCAAAAGCACAACAATGAGGTCCTTATTCTGCTTACTCTATTCTCTCTTCCCAGCAACATGTTCAACATGTAAATGGGTACTAGTGCTTAACTTCCTGCTGCTCATCTAAGTACTGATGCGTAGTGGATTACAAACGGATGATATCAAGTCAGCTTCTGGTATTTCACAAGTTGTATTTTAAAAAAAATACATGTTACCTAGGTTCATATTTGTGCTTTGTGGGAATGCATGCAAAATCATATGCATTCCTGCAATTCACAAAAAAAGTGAAAGTGCATCCTAAATCTTTGGATCCGGTACCAGAATTTGCATTTCGGTGCACCACTAGTACTTGCCTATAACCTGCAGCTCTGCGCCCTTGTGTCAGAGCAACTGCTGCAAGGGAAATGAAGGGAGCACTGACATGACTGGGCCATGGGCACCTGAGTGAGGTCATGGCTCCATGAATTCAAAGCTTCTGTCAAGTGCTCTTTTCAATGTACTTCTGGACTTCCTAAAGACGCCGCTCTGGTGAAATGTATGTTGATGCACAGGGACCGCTACTTCTGGTTCTTATATGACATCATGTCCAGCCTAGGAGAAAGAGGCTTGGAGTGCATGCCAGCCAATAGGGGCGGTGCGGTGAGATGATTCACATACATACTTTATACACTGGTGCCTGTATTCTAGGCACTGTAATATGTGAGTGTTTATACTTTGTATCTGATTCATTCATATTCAATAAATACTACACTAAGATGCTTTCAAGTGGATATCGCTCTCTTTATCACTGGGTATGTCTGAGTGAGCCAACTTAAGGAAGGAGGATCTGGGGATCATCTTGGAGAAAGAACCCTTGGGAGAAGTAGCATTGTTTGACCTACCTGTAAAAATGGGTCATAATCCTCTGGTGAGTGTGCATTCTTTCTACCATCACAAGTGGTGAAAAAGCTGGGAGTTTGTTTTGCTACCAAATATTCACTCAAAGGATCCACATGTCGCAGCGTGCTGTGGGGAAATTGCACATCATTGGACTTTTTTAAAAAAAATTTAAGTTGATTGTATATACATTTGAATGATGTTTGCTAATTTAGATATAATGAATTAAGCAAGTACCTTATCTTTAATAAGTTTACTTTTTAGTGTATTTGCACTTAAAGGGGCAGCTGCATATTTAATTTTGGTAAAATAGGTTTACACGGTTTAAATGATTTTTTTAGTTTTCACTTTTATGATGAAAGGGAGGTGCCATTATAGTGGTTGAATTTTTGTTTTGCATGTTTTTGAGGTGCCATAAAAAATGAATGGCACACAATCGTGTGTTGCATTTTGCCGTGATTATTATTCTTATACAGTATTTATATTGCGCCAATAGTTCACTCAGAGCTGTACATTACAATGGGAGATAATACATGAGACAGTGCAATACAATGCGATACACGAGAGGGCCCTGCCTCTTGGAGCTTACAATCTAGTAGGGAGGGGATAGTGGTACGGGAGGAAAAGCTGTGGGGGATGGAGTGGTAGGAAGAGTGGAGGAGATTGGCAATTAGCAGGGGGCGGGGTAGGCTTCCCTGAAGAGGTGGGTTTTCAGGGTACACCTAAAGGAGAGGAGAGTAGGTGATAGTCTGATGGATTGGGGTAGGGAGTTCCAGAGGATGGGTGATGCCCTGGTGAAGTCCTGGAGGCGGGCATGGGAGGAGGAGACCAGGGGACTAGAGAAAAGGAGGTCTTGTGAGGAGCGGAGAGTGCGTTTTGGGTGGTATTTGGATATTAGGTCGGTGATGTAGTTTGGGGCAGTATTATAGACAGCTTTGTATATCAGTGTTAGCATTTTGAATTTGATCCATTGGGCAATCGGAAGCCAATGGAGAGATTGGCAGAGGGGGGTGGCGGAAACGGAGCGATTGGTAAGGTGGATGAGTCTGGCAGCCGTATTAAGGATCGTCTGAAGCGGGGATAGCCTGTGGTGAGGGAGGCCAGTGAGGAGGGAGTTGCAGTAATCTAGTCGTGATATAATGAGGGAGTGGATGCGTTGCTTAGTGGTTTCTGGGGTTAGGAATGGGCGTATTTTTGACGATGTTGCGGAGGTGGAGTCTGCATGAGTTTGTTAGCGATTGGACTTAGGGCTGGAAGGATAGATTGGAGTCAAGAATGACACCAAGTACTGTGGCTTGCGGGGTGGGCTTGATGATGGCATTGTTGGACGTGATGGAGAAGTCAGTGGGGGGGGGGGGGGGGGTGCGCAGGCCGGGGGGAAAACTAGGAGATCGGTTTTGGAGAGGTTCAGTTTAAGGAAGTGGAGCGACATCCAATCTGATATGTCGTTCAGTAGGCTAGTGATTCGGGCGGAGACTGAGGGGATGAGGTGAGGGGTCGAGAGATAGATTTGCGTGTCGTTGGCATAGAGGTGGTAGTTGAAGCCGTGGGAGTGTTTGCCAAGGGAGGAGGTGTAGATGGAGAAGAGAAGGGGCCCAAGGACAGAGCCTTGAGGGACCCCGACAGAGAGGGGGAGTGAGGGGGAGGTGGTAGCATTATAGGTAACGCTGAAGGAGCGTTGTGATAGGTAGGACAAGAGAGCCAGGAGAGAGCAGAGTCTCTGAGTCCAAGAGAATGTAGTTTTTTTTTTTTGAGGAGGAGGGGGTGGTCGACTGTGTTGAAAGCCGCGGAGAGGTCAAGGAGTAGGAGCACTGAATAGTGGCCATTAGCTTTGGCGGTTAGCAGGTCGTTGGTGAGTTTAAGTAAGGCAGTTTCGGTGGAGTGTAGGGGACGGAGGCCAGAATGTAGGGGGTCCAGGAGGTGGTTGTTGTTGAGGTGGGAGGGAGCTTAGGCGATTGTAGACTAGGCGCTCAAGGAGTTTGGATGTAAATAGCAGCAGGGAGATGGGTCTAAGGTTGTTTGGGTCAGTGGGGTCCAGGGAGGGCTTTAAGTATGGGAGTGATGTGCACGTGCTTCAGAGGGGAGGGGAATGCGCCGGAAGAGAGGGAGAGATTAAAGATGTGGGGGATTACAGTGCGATGTGGAATCGCTGAAATTCCGCCTGTGATTCCAAATTGCCAGATGTGAGTGGAGCCTTACCGTTTTTCTTTAATTGCAGATGTGCAGTAATCAATGTAAAGTCTTGGCATCTAATAGCTGGGAAGACTTCACTCCCCTACATACTGTATATATGGGAGTTGTCGTCTGTGACAGACCAATGGCTAAAGACAAATGACATTGAATCCAGAAAAATACAAGTAGAGAATTGGAGCAATGAGGGGACGCACAGACCTTGCATAGCTAGAGTTATGGCACAAAATCTTGGGTTCACATAAATTTTTTAATAATTCTACATTCATTACTAGCAATTAAACTCCTTAATTCAATGCAAAAATTGAAGATATATTTTCCAGAGACAAAATCCCAATTGTTGTGGGAGGAACAAACTATTACATAGAGTCGCTCCTGTGGAAAGTCTTAGTTGATGTGGTGAGTATCTGCTGTTTTTTGACACTTTCTTTATTGAAACTGGGGAAAAGGCAGAGTACAACCAATTACAATCTAGCTCCGCTCAACAAAGGGTGATTGCTAACACTAGATTGGATGCTGTGGGAAACATGCCTAGTTCCTAATTTTTATTTTTTCAGAGTTTTCACGATGATGTGCTTTTGTTATGTCCATGGAGCACATGACTATTCAAACCGCACACAAATGCATATTTAAAACATTTAGTCAAATCAAACCCAAACAAAAACCCATCCATTAGAGCTGATAAACACGTGCGGTGCGGATTGAAGCTCAGTTTTCACAGCTAATTGACACAGTAGTTGTTCAGGTCAGGTTTACATCAGGTTCGGGACAGGTTCCGATCAGGATTTTATCCTGTTCACACGTGCAGTTTATAAACGGTTCCCAAAGTCAATAGCCTGTAATCCATACCTGAACCGGACTGCACTGCTCAGAAATCCGACAGCGCTTTTTTTCAATCTGCGCTTAATACGCAATGAATCCGCGCTGCCAGTGCACCGGACATGTGAATAGACACCATAGGGAGCAATGTTATTTCACGTCATGCAGATTGAATGTGGTTCAAACCACTTCCAATCAGCATTTGTGAACCGGCACTTAGTCTGCAAATAAGCTCAATAACTGGGTAATGCTGCAATGACTTGGTCACTATTCATTGACCATTTTTCTATGATCTTAACATTAGGAAATACTATAGGGAAAAGTGCTATATGCATGACAGTGATATGAAAATACTACATAATATGATATGCTGAAAGTCCCAAATATGTATGTGATAACCTGTATAATAGAGGGATGTGTATTGCAGTTTGACTGGTGGAGCAGCAGATTCCTCACATACCACAACACCAACCTGTTCATCAAGTGGTGGCGCAGTAATCTGTAATGGGGTTTTAAAGTTCTTTAGCACATATGTGAGTGATGTCACCCAGCTGGCGGAAGTGATGTATTTGGTACGTAGTGTCCAGCATGCCTCTGTTTACAATTTAGCAGAATTGAGGGGCAGAGCAAATACCCAGTTGAAGGCATAGCCCTCTCACACAGGGAGTAACTTGAAAGACATTGTTACAAATTATATTGCGGCAAATGGCTATTACCAACGAACAGACCAAAATAATGTCACACGCATAATAATGTCTATTGCAGCGTTCTTTCAACCACTGTGCCGCGGCACACAAGTGTAGCCGTGAGATATTGTCTGGTGTGCCGTGGGAAATTTCTGTGTGCGCGCCTGCTCCCCATCCCTCCTCTCGGTCGGACCTAACCGCTCCCCTGCCTCCTCTCGGTTGGCAGCCCCAAAAGTCCGCGCGGACCTATTGGCAATTGGCTATTACCAACGACAGACAAAATATGAATTGAACAAAATGTATTACTGTATGTATGTGCTTTCATCGTGTTGCTGTACAAGTCTTGTCACAAAAGTATCAATTCAAATAAATAATGTAGGCACACATAATAAAAAAAGTCTATTGTGTTAAAATGGATGTTTGTGGTACAAATAATAACAAAATAACTATTATTGTTATGGCCACAAAGTATTGACCTCAATAAGCATTGCCTATAGAAATCTTTTATGGTATCTGTGTTGTTGTGTGTGTGTTTTTTTTTTTTTAATGTGCCAGCATCCTATTTGTTTAAATGTAATACTTTTGTTGCCATAGAAATGTTGTAACTTATGATGCACATGCATAAATTGGAAAGCAACTACTATTACTCATGACAGACAAGACATGTAACAATGTAATGTATAATAACATCCTCCTGTGAGAGGATTGCAGTGCCTTCTAATAGGTGTTTGCCCCATCTCTTTATCCTGTTGCGTTCCACTAGATAGAATGCTGTCGTGCTGGGCAATGTAACTACTACATCATTTCCTCCAGCTGTTCTAATATGCCAACAGAGTGGGTTACTTTGCGCACGCATCCGCCAAGGGGCGGATCGATACGTCACCATTCCTGAAAAAGCTAGTGGCACTACAGTATGCGTGGAGCAGGGGCGGACTGACAACTCACGGGGCCCCCAGGCAATTGTGAATCTTGGGGCCCCTGTGTCCTTGCCCACACTCAAAACACACCCAAAAAAGCCTATAAAAGGTACCAGGGGCATTTTATGGGGCCCCCTACTGACCCCGGGCCCTCATGCTCGAATGGCCAGTCTGCCCCTGGCGTAGAGTCTGCTGTTCCACCAGTCAAACTACATTGGACGCTGTCGGATTTAGCTACCTAAAAGTCACCATCCTGCTATTATACAGGGTGTCTCACATAGACTTGGGGCTTTTGGCATATCGTTATGTAGTATTTTGATATCACTGTCATGCACATATCACTTATCCCATGGTATGATCATGGAGCATTTTCAATTATTTCAGGTACTTATATAGCGCCATCAATTTATGCAGTGCTTTACATATATATTGTACTTTTCACATTAGTCCCTAACCCTCAAGGGGTGTACAATCTAAGGTCCCTAACTTACATTCATACATACACATACTAGGGCCAATTTAGACAGGATCCAATTAACCTACCAGCATGTCTTTGGAGTGTGGGAGGAAACCGGAGTACCCGGAGGAAACCCACGCAGACACAGGGAGAACAGGCAGGTAGTGCCGTGGTTGGGATTCGAACCAACGACCCTAGTACTTGCCAGGCGGAAGTGCAAACCATTTAGCCACTGTGCATTCTTCAATGCTCAGGTTATTCGAGCATAGAATTTCTATGGAGTGTTCCGGTAGCTGGTTGTTGAGCTTATTTTGCAGACTGACAGATGGGTTTTTGCTTGGGGTTAGTGTTAAGGCCCCGTGCACATGTTTTTTTATTTCTAGGGGTGCCTAGCATTTTTTTTCCCTACCTCCAAACTCCCCTGCATGTTAGCCTTTGTGTCCATGCATACAAACTTTTAGAGGCAGAAAAAAAACCAGCTGCAAGTGAGTCCAGGAGCAGCAGAGTTTTGGCAGAAAAAAATGCTTGATGTTTCTAAAAGCATGTCAACGCTAGGCACGTTTAGCGCTAGATCGTTGAAATTATTTATTCTGGCCAATGACCTGAATTAACGCTTAACTCGGGTAAACGCATTACACACTTTTACAAGCATCAGGTGCCAAAGTGCTGCTGCCAGGAGGAGTGGCTTCTAGGAAAGTTAGAAAAACTGTGTGTGTGTCCTAAATGTTTAAAATGATGCATTTATATGCTATTTGAATAGTGCTCCTCCTTGGGAGATAGGTGGTTCTAATAAGAATAACATATTTTTCACAACACCAGATTTATCCTCCGCTGTGCAAACATTTTCTGATTTTCAGGAATATTTTTCTGTTTATGCTTTTGGTCATGTGATGTTGCATATGTTCTATTTACAGGGATCCCCATCTGCAGTAAAAAAAAGTGATGAAGGTGATGCATTTCAGATTGTAACTGACAGGAAGTTAGAACTGATGAAACTAGATGGCTATGAGCTCCACGCACAACTAAAGGAGGTGGACCCAGAGATGGCAGCAAAACTGCATCCAAATGATAAAAGGAAACTTGCAAGGTGGGCATATGGAACAAAAATACTTCAGGCCTTGATCTGCGTAGTGTTAGCTTAATGTAAAATGAAACCATACACATGTACAGCAGTTTGTTCTTTATAGGGTAGTGATGGGGGCTGTAAATGTTTCCTGTGCTTTCATAATGGGAAACCCTCAAAACATAAATTACCTGATAGATTTATGGAGCCTTAATTAGTAATGGTTAGGTGAACAGTGCCGTTTTATGAAGTATACCATTCGTGTTATGCAGTTCACCTCCCTTTTTAAAGTGACCTAGCAAAGTACAAATTTTTCAATGCCAGGAAATCACTGGGAAACTACAGCATGCTCATGCTAGAAGAGAAGATTTGGAGGTTCCTTTCTGCTGCCCTGGCAGTGACATGACCAGTTAGGTTGGAAGGAGATGCTTTCTACAAACCTAAGTTGCCATCACACGATCTAATATACTGTGTTGGCTGTTGAAGTAAAAATCATTTAAAGTGTTACTAAACCCAGGACCCTGCATTTACTATATCTGGTCTCCCACAGTACACAACATGGAAGAGCAATTATTTTAGTAAATATAAACTGCTAAATACCTTTTCTCATCTGCAGTTAGAGCAGTCTTGTGACTTCTATCAGTGTCCAGCAGAGCACTGGTTAAAGCTTGGAGGAGTTTTCATTTTTCTCTAAGAGAATGCAGAACACCTGACCTCTGTTTGGACAGTGCTGATTGGCCCTGTGCTGATGATCACATGCACCCCCCCCCCTCTATTGCAATACGCACTAAACTGAGCATGTGCAGAGTGACTCCACATGATCAGTCTTATCAGGAGATAAGAGGGGGGCACTGGAAGAAGGGGAGGATCAGAGAAGTCAGGATCAAACATCCTTTTTACACAATGCAGAGGATTAACCCCTTAGTTTCCACAGTGAGTATAACAAGCATGCTTTACTGCATATACAGACTGATTTTTCTGTTGTGGGTTTAGTAACACTTTAACTGAATATATTTTGTGAACTGGTGCAGTTTGCATTGGTGAAATTCAAAGCAGAGTAACCCATGACAACACAATTTTAGTTTTTAGAATTAGATCTTTTAAAGATGGATTCAGATATTTTTTTAAAATGAACTTTGCCAGTTTGCACATTATTCCTTGTGGATTAAGTCTAATTTATGTAAGTAAGAAAACACACAAGCATTCGATAGTGTCTCTTAAACCTCAGTAGATTTTTTTTTTTCTTTTTATAATCGTGAGTTTCTATAGGTTATGATTTTCAACTGATTTTTGTTTGCAAATGCCTTTAAAGTACATTTTTTATTTAGCAAAAATGCTTTATGTTCTTATACTCCAGCTGTATGTGCTGGCATTGATGAGTACCCACCACCCCCCTCATCACAAGTGTCCTCACAAAGACTTGTAGTGCAGCAGAGAGAATCTGACCAGTTCCATTATAGTACCCTAGCTAGTGGGATCAGATTTAGTGTCTGTTAAAGCCACATTGCAACTGCGGTAAAATGAAGTGGGGGTAAGACTGTAGAAATCAGACATTTTCCTAATAGCCACACAGTTTTTTGTGACTTCAGTAAACCTTACCTTTTTACAAATGCTTGTTTCAAATCCAAATATAATCTCTATGAACAAATCTCTATAATAAAGAATCTGTACCAAATTTGATAAATATCTGTTTGGAAAAGACCCATGAAAGTCCTATGTGGGTTAAGCATATCCTGAACATAGGATATATTCATTGAAGTCAGATCACATTGTGTATACAAAGGCTTTTCTAAAGGCTTCTATTGCATCTCCAAATCTAGGAGTATACAAATGTGCTGCCTCCTTTGTGTAATCTTCACTATTGTGCCCATTGTAGAGAAATAGTGGAAAAGCAAGTCTGGTAGCATACTTTCTAGCAAGAGCTGACTTGTTTGTAACCTATTTAAGACATCTTTGCAGTGTGTACTTGTACTTCTCCCTTTTCTAGGGCTGCTGAGAAATTTCTGCAGCTCATCTCAATTGATGCTGAGCTCTGTTAGTAGGGGGTAAAGTGCCTGATGATGACCCAGTGACAGTGTGTCTGCCATGCAGGAGCCTGCAGGTGTTTGAGGAGTCTGGCTTTCCCCATACCGAACACCTTAGACGACAGCAGGAAGATGATGGAGGTGGTCCCCTAGGAGGGGCCTTAAGGTATCCAAACCCTTGCATCTTTTGGCTACATTCAGATCAGGAAGGTAAGTCTGTCCTACACTTCCTAAAACTGAAATTTTTTTTATTCTTTTCAGGAACTAATGTAAACAGTTTCTCATCACATTTTTTGTTACAGTACTTAATACCAGGCTGAGTGCCAGGGTTGATGAGATGTTGCAGATGGGACTGATAAAGGAACTACAAGACTTTCACGAGCGCTACAATGCAAAGCTTGTTGCACAATCTGGGTAGGTGTGGCACAACACTTTAAAATCATGAGTGCTTGATTTTGTTTTTTTTTTTTTTTTTTTTTTTAAATTACAAATATAGATATATTAAGATCATATAGGCACAGGAGTAGAGTGGACATTTGTTTGAGAACATCCTTTGACCTTTAGTAACACAGCTAATAGAGCAGTGGCCAATCACAATTTCAAATGGAATGAAGGCACATTCATGAATATTTTTTTTTTTTTTTTTTTTGGTTGTTATTGGGGATGCACCAATGCCTTTTCTTTTTGTTTGTCTTTATTTTAGCAAGTAAGAGTACCGACACGTGGTGTGTGTGTTTTTTTTTTTTTTTTTTTTTTTTTTTTTTTTTTAACTCACTAATGCCACTTACCAATACCTGCCTGCAACTGTTTTTCTTTACATTCCAGCTGTCAGCAGGGGTACCCCGCTGAAAGCTAAAGGAGTGATCGGTTGTTAAGGACTTGGGGGGGGGGGGGGGGGGGGTACTCTTTAACCACTTCGGCTCTCACACCTGTTCACCCCTTATGGACCAGAGCAATTTTTTTACATTTCTGCTATGGACCTGTTTATTTGGTGATAACTTTGTCATTTCTGAAAGGAGCAGTACAGCTAAGGCATTTTTGGCTGTGCTATTCATGTGGGTCACAGGATTGCAGTTCGTTCTGCACTCCTGTGACTCGTTTTCAGCAGACAATGGGCTGATGCCCGCTGGCTGCTGACGTCACTCAGGTGGACCAGGCTGGGTGAGGTGCTGAGAAGCTGAGCCAACTATTCCCTCCCCCTCCACAGCCCAGCGCTCCAGTGAGCGCAGGGGTGGCAGAGCAGAGAACGGTGACTGACCGTCACCGCTCTCTTCTCAAAGGTCTCATCCTTTTTTTAAATCCTATAATTCTCTTTTAAGGTAACAACGTAATGCATATATTGGGTTTTTTTTTTCCTTAAGGACAAACAAGGCTTTCCTTTTTGTTAATATTTTCTTGCAACAATTATATAACAATTGCTTAGACAATTAAAAGTAACGAAACTAAATGAAAACGCACTTTCTTTTTTTGAGTGATGTTCGTTAACATCTGGGCAGGTTAACATATGGGGTGATCAAAGGGTTAATGATGCGCTGTTTTGTGCTCACTGTGTGCAGTTTTACTAGGGGATGTGCTGCTTTCTATCTCTCTGCAAAGCAGAGACCCGGTGATTGACATCTCCAGGAGCTATTGACAGTGCGGGTAGGTCAGCACACGCCCCCTACCCGGTAATGCAAAAACATATTTATATGTGATTTTGCACAGCGGGGCCACCCTGTAGCAGTATGTCTGCTAAAGGGCGGCTCTTAAATGGTTAAATTTCAGTTAACATATCCAATACTTTTCCCTGTTTCATTCCATTTTATTACATGTAACTTAATTTCTGAACTGATTTGTTTTGGTTTCTTTTGTATGTATGGATTGCATGGGTTGTTACAGAGGTGAAAATTTCATGTCAATAGCACCTTTTAGAAATATATGTTTACTGAGAAAAATGGTGACGTGTTCAATACTTATTTTACCCGCTATATGTTTAAAGGTGTAATAATAAATATTAACAAACGAAGCAAACAAAAAAAGAAAGTTTTAAATCGTTTATAAAATAGAAATGGAAAAAAAAAACCAGCAGGAAAATAACAATTAGTGGTTCTAAAGGCTCAAGGTTTTTTACCTTCACACATTCTGTGTGTACAGTGGGGCCCTCCCCTCCAATCCTTACCTGCGCCCCCTCCTATCCAGCAATGTGCACAAAAGCTTCAGATATATGAGGACTCTACCTCCTCATTGCCTGAGACAGCAGTGGGAGCCCATTGGCTGGCAGGGGACCCAAAAAGGAATAAGGAGTTAATTAGGGCTGATTAGAGTAAATGGTTAAACAGAGGAACATTTAATTTTAAAGAAAAAAAAAACAAAACTTGACAGTTTGTTTTTTTAACTTCATGTGCCGAAAGAAGTTCATCCATTTTTGATCTGTAGATGAATAAAAAAAGATACAAAATTAAAGGTTTATTTTTATCTTTCTGTTTTAGCGGCTGAGCATTTTTGTTGATAAACATTTGTCAAGCCGCTTTTTTTTTTTTTTTTTGAGAGCTTCAATTTCCAGGACTTATTTACATTTCAGCTGTCAGCAGGAAAACCTCGCTGACAGCTGAATAAGTCATTGGTTGTTAAGGACGCAGCCGCCCTGTTCCAACCAATAACTTCCGGCTTTTTTTCTTAAATTTTTCAGCTGTCAGGGGAACTCCGCTGACAGCTGAAAGAACCGAACTTGAAGGTATCAGTTTCAGGTATCTGGGCATCCGCTTGAGTACTAATACTCGTGGAAATGCTTAGCATCGGCACAGATCCCGATAGTTGATATGATTTTACTATACCTATTACACTGCCTTTTCTTTTATACCCATCTTCTTTTTCCAAAGTCAAGATTACCAACATGGTATTTTCCAGTCAATTGGGTTCAAGGAATTCCATGAATATCTGGTGACTATGGATAACAGTAACCCAAAACAGAAAGAGGTTCTTCTACAGAGAGGTGAGCAATGCACTTGTTTTCACAACCCTTATGTGTTTCATTGTCATCTTCCAAAGGGCACAAAGTGTAATAAACTTTATAGATATGAGAGTAACCAACATTACATTTATTTTCCAGGAATAGAATCACTGAAGCAGAGAACTCAAAAATATGCCAAGAAACAGATCAAATGGGTGAAGAACAGATTTTTGAAAAGTATGTTTGTTCATTCAGTTCTCTTGATCAGCTATTTTAAACTGCGGTATGTACTGCCACAGGTAGACTGAAATATCCAAAGCCAGTCACAGATGAAGGTCAAAGAACTCCTGCTTAGCTATGTGACATCGGAGCAGCTTTCCACAACACACTCCTCTTCAAACTTTAAAGCAGTATTAATCCTGAAAGCAAACCTATATTATATTGCAGCCTACCAATTCTTAAATGTGATGTCTGCACTAGTTTTATTGTTTTTAGGCTTTCTTTCCTTTTTTTCACCTGCTGATCCAGCCAGTAATTCTGTTTTTTCAAAAGAACAAGCTCTCCTACAGATGTATCAGTTTACAGGGATGAGACAAACCATTTAATACTGAGGAGGTGCTTACAATGGTTAGCTTTTATTTATGTAAAACCTTTATACCATTAGGGAAAAAACTGTTTGCTGTAACTGCTTATAACAGGGGTGTCCAGCACACGGACTGCACGTGACCTGGGGCCCATGTGGAGGGACAACAGGGATGCTGTGTAAGCACAGCGGCCAACATAGACAAGCCCATCTGTAACAACGCCGGGGATTCCATGCAAAAATGGCTCTCAACGGGTAGGTGCAGCTGCCAGCCCTGTTCCCTATAATGACAGTTTGCTGGCAGCCACACACCTAACTGCAGCTCTGTACACAGCCAGCGATAATCACTGCTGGACGCACTTTGTCTGCATCCATCAGTGCTTATCGCAGGTTAACTCTCTGGCTGTGTAAAGAGGTGCAAATAGGCGCAGCCGGTGTTGACCTGACACTATAGTGAGTGGGCCCAGCGGCCACAACAACCCATTGAGAGTCGCAGGAGGAACTGCTTATCAGCTATCCTTATTGTTAGTGTATTTTATTTGCAACCAAAGACCATTTCTCTTTTTCCAATGTGGCCCAGGAAGGTAAAAAATGTGGACACTCCGGGCTTATAGCATGTGAGCTGGAGTTTGGCATTTAACACTACCCTCCCCCACAGACTGCCAATTCTGCTGCTTGCTGTGCACCATATACTCATTCGTCCAGTTAGGGGGTACTCTAATATAGTAAGTGTGTTACTGGCCAGATCACCAAGTGAAAACCGAGGGAACAAAGAACAAAAAAAGCTAATGCAGTCACTGTATCTAATGATTTAGTAAGCTGCACTATATTCCTTTTTTAGGGGGTCTTAATGCTGCTTTAATCGCCTCCCGCCCGCCATATAGTACAATGACTGGCGCAAGGTGGTTCTCTCATTCTGGGAGGACATCATATGACGTCCTCCCAGTCTAAACGCGCTTGTGCGGCTCTGGGAGCACGCAGCGCGGCGATCGGCGGTGCGCTGTGTCCCTCGGACACAGCAGATCACCGATCAACGGAAAGAGCTGAAGATATCGGCTCGGTCATGTGATCAGCTGTGCCCAATCACAACTGATCACATGTAAACAGGGAAATGCCGGTTATCGGCATTTCTCTTCTCACGAGCTGTCACGCTGACAGCTCGAGAGGAGAGGAGAGCCAGTGATCGGCATTACTCGGAAAGGACATGTACACTGATCATCAGGGCACCGATGATTGGTGTGCCTTGATGATCTGTGTAGCCCCAGCAGTGCCACCTGTCAGTGTCCATCAGTGCCAGCTGTCAGTGCTCATCCATGCCACCTGCCAGTGACACATTTCAGTGCCTACCAGTGCACATCAATGCCACATATCAGTGCCCATCTGAGCTGCCTTTCAGTGCCACCTATCAGTGCTGCCAGTCAGTGCTGCCAGTCAGTGCTGCCAGTCAGTGCTGCCTATCAGTGCCCATCAGTGATGCCTGTCAATGCCCATCAGTGCCTCCTCATCAGTGTCCATCAGTGCAGCCTATCAGTGCCCATCACTGCAGCCTCATTAGCGCACATCAGTGAAGGAGAAAAATCTCTTATTTACAAAATTTTATAACAAAAACTAAAACTTTTTTTTTTTTAAATTTTCAGTGGTTTTTGTTTTTTTTTTTTAAGAAAAAATAAAAAACCCAGAGGTGATTAAATACCACTAAAATAAAGCTGTATCTGTCAAAAAAAAAAGATAAAAATTTCATATGGGTACAGTGTTGCACGACCGCGCGCAATTGTCATTCAAAGTGTGACAGCGCTAAAAGCTGGAAATTGGCCTGGGCAGGAAGGGGGTATAAGTGCCTGGTAGGCTAGTGGTTAAAGAGGCTGTCCTTGAATTGATAGTGCTGTGATAGCAGATGGCACAAACTACTTGCTTGGTTGGACAGAGGAAGGACATATCAGGTCACTGATTGGTCAATATGAACAACATGGACAAAACGGGTAGATGTGGGAAAAAAAGATGGACTGGACATAAAGGGGAGTTAAATTAATATGTCGGGTTAAATGGTGGACATCGGAGTGGAATAGAAATGGATTCACAGAGAAATTGAGAATATTCTGGCCAAGCAGTTAATATTGTTAACCAGCAGGCACTCTCAAACTAATGTTCCCAAATATGAGTAGCCATACTGAGGATATGTTATTCTACATTCCCCATTTCCCAGCTCTGTCAGCTACAGACTCCATTAATAGAAGGGAACCAAATTGTGTGCTTTCCTTCTCAATCACTGAGAGTCAGCTCAGGGTAACCCCTTCCAGTACCAGCATGCCTCCGGTTTTCGCTAGTGTCCTAGGAGGATCGATAATCCAACACAACAAACACTTTACTCCTGCGCTAGGAAAGGACTCAGTAGACCCAGTAGGAATGTTCTGGAATTTTCTGGAATATGCACTGTTTGCTGCCCTCAACAGACCGGGGTGGTCCGAATACACTGGATACAAATGGAGAAACAGAAAAAGGGCGCACCGACCTAGTGCATTATCGTTTAAAATAATTTATTAAAGAAACAAAAATAGGTATCATACTCACAATGGACATAATAACTCAGAGCCAGCCTCTGAGGAAGAGGTTGTGTCCTCGAAACGCGTTAGCCAGTTGGTCATCCAGGGTTCCATTGTATGGACTCAGATGTTGTTTGGATCATACGTCTTGTTCAGTTTGACATGCCTGTGTTATTATGTCCATTGTGAGTATGATACTTATTTTTATTTCTTTAATAAATTATTTTAAACGATAATGCACTAGGTTGGTGCGCCCTTTTTCTGTTTCTCCATTTGTATCTAGGAGGATGGATGCCTTTTCTTCAGTTCTGCTGTTTTTAAAAAAAAATAAAATAAAACAAAAAAAAAAAAAAACCCTGTTTGTTCTAGCGGGGTTCTTTTCAGACTCTGTTCTGGTAGAAAGTTTAACACCATGCTTTCCAGGTCAGGAGATGCTGGCATTGCCTTAGCTTTTCTCCGGTATGTGTAGAATCACTTTGTGAGTGAGCTGTTTGGGCCAAGCGTTAGGGCTACCTCAAGTGTATAAGTCACTGGATGCTTTTAAAATGTCTCGTTTTCACTGTGGAACGATTTCTCTCCTTTCTATTGTTTCAGAGATCATTGGCCTTTGCCTTTTTGATTAAGGCATGTGGTTTCCCCTCTTCATTCCCCTGTGACTCCTTGGGATCTAAATTTGCTTCTCCTTGTGCTATGGAAACTGCCGTTTGATCCCATTAGAGACATTCCACTTTTCCTTTGTACCCCCACCTCTATGAGGCAAGTATCTGAACTAGAGAGCCATTTACGGATAAGGTGATGTTTAGATCCAGGACTTCCTTCTTGCCTAAAGTGGTTTCTACCTTTTTCAACTCATCAAGGGCATTGTTCTTCCATCTCTTTATCAGACTCTGGGTCAACAAAAAGAACCACTTACAGACAATCGAGAGAAATTTCTATCTCTCAGTCATGGTTTCTTTCGGAAAGACTGTTTTTTTTTTCTTGTCATCCTTGATGGTCCCCAGAAGGATGCTCTGGCTTCTCGTCCCACCATCTCTAAGTGACTTAGACAGACCCCTGTGTACGCTTGTGGTTTTTCAAGGATTGGGTGCCACCCCTCCCTATCAAGGCACATTGTACTAAATCTGAGGGCTTCTTGGTATTAAGCAACTGTTTCTCAGACTTGCCAGGCTGCCAAGTCTTCTGTTCACATGTTCTCGGACTTCCACTAGGTAGATGTTGCAACCCCAGTTGATGCCTGTTTTGGGTGTAAGTTCCTTTAGGCAGTAAAGGAGCTTTTGCAGTGCAGCTGTTTGTTGGGCATGTGAAATGTTTCTGTGAGCCTCACTGGATGAATAAAATAGGATTTTTTTGTTTTAAGATCATGCCTTTGATACTGCTTTGCTACAAAATGAAGGCATGCTAGTAGCTAGAGGGGCTACTCTGGGCTGGCTGTTTTGGTGTTTTTTTTGGTTTTTTGTTTTTTTTTTTGCCACTGCAGCTGGCAGTATAACCTGAACGTGAACAACTCCCTGTGTCCCACAGTGGATTTAAAGAAAAGGATTTTATCGGGAGTAAAAAAATTTCCCTATTGTGTGATAACCATGATGCTTATAACATGGTGGTAATATGAAGTTTGTTAGCAAACAAATCTCACGTGGCCCCCCTAATTTTGATTTTAAAGTTTACAATATATTGTCTGGGAAACCAGCGTAATTCCCTGGCTGAGAGTCACCGTTGCAGCTCGGCCCACTGCCAGCAGCCTATCAAAAATGACTTCCTGAAATATGCAGCAGCTGTCTGCCGATATATGCTCATCCTAGCGGTACTTGCATACAGGAGCAGCACATAAGTATAGCTCAGATGTGTGCATATCGGCCTACAGTCACTACATATTTCACTCCTTGAAGCAGGCTGTACACTGCACCTGTGACTCCTGGCCAGAGAATTGTATGTTTTTTGACTGTGGGCAATTTAGCTGTATATGTATATCTTTAAAAAAAAAAAGAAATTTTGACAAATTGACATTTGTCAAGTTAGCTGGCACAGCTAAATTTGTTCTGGGCATTTATGTAATCATGGTGAGGGGGTTACCAGAGACTTGTACTGCCATTGCTGACTTTCTGAATCTGCTAATCCCCTGGCTGTCTGTCTTCCAAACATTGTAAGTTACGGACCTGGAACAAGCAGGCAGCAAACTGGTTCATAATGAACTTATAACAAGTGATCTGCTTACTGGTTCCAGATAGATGATGACTGTGAGCAATTCCATTTGTTTGGCAACTAACATTTGAAGAGAGGTCAGTGGTGAGAGCCTTCATACTTCCCCATAATACACATTTCCTTTTGAATATTATTGGCTTCCATTGCTTAACTCTTTGAAATTGCTAGCTGACCCAAAGGATCATTATTTTGTCACTGCCCTGGAACAAGTATATAGCTCTGCAATTTTGACTTTCTGCTGTTACTTTGGCTATAAAATTCTGTGTTTTTCTATAACACTTGTAGTTACATACAGTGTCATTTCAGCATAGGCTCCGAGTGCTGTTGAATAAAGCAATAGGTTCACTTTACTAAAAATGTTAAGCAGATGTATTTGGACTTTTTAAAGTGGAACTGAAATTAGAGAAAAGCCAGCTCAGGGAAGTGTATGCAGCTCAGCAGGACAGGCTGATACTTGTAGTATTTATAAAGGCTATAAAATCTGAATACCAGGCAGTATCTACAAAACATACTCAGTTGTGCGAATTACTTCACTCATCAAAAAAGTACACAATTATGCATTATAATGCATATACTCTACAGAAAGGAATTGCTTACTCCCTTTTTTAATTGGACTGGTGTTCTACTTTAGCGAATTTCTGTAGAACACGGTGATTTGAAACCTACATTTTATAAATTAGGAATGGTGGAATTAGCTTCTAACTCTGGCATCCTTTTTTGTTTTCTGAGCACATTCTTTTTGTGTTCCAGACTTGCTCCTCCTCTTCTCTCCACCTCTTCCATTCTTGGATTGCTGCCAGTGTCAGCAGCTGTCCTCAAATATTCTACCACAAAGCCAGGCAAGAGACAGGTGCTCAGCCTGCTCTGCACTTCTCGTTTAAGGAAGAGCAGGTGGAAGGCAGGTCATGCTCAGTTGCTGCACTTTGCAATAAAGCACACAGTCTTTTGGATTTTTTTTTTTTTTTTTATGTATTCAGTGAGAATACATAAAGACATTCAGTTTTATTTCAATGGCATCTTAATCTGCATGTGTACTATATTGTAGAATATATTTTAAATACAATTGTGTGTTATCTGTATTTTTAAATATGTATTTAATAGTAAACACAATAATACTTTTGTATATTTTCTAGGACCTGGACCTAATGTGCCCAGTGTGTATGGATTGGATGTGACTGACATATCTTCTTGGGATGAAAATGTTCTATCGCCTGCAATACAGATTGTGGGCAATTTTTTACAGGTTGGTTTTCTAGCTGACTCACTTCTGTAATTTATCAGTTGACCTTTACCAACAAACTAGTAGTAGTTTAATTTTTTGTGGTAATTTTATTTTAAAATGTTTAAAGTTACAGAATCACGGGAACGTTTATTATTTACATATACTTAAAAAAAACATAATACTTATAAATAAGTGAATTGAAATATGTATCCACGATGCTGGGACACCAGGCCTCAGACCCTCCCACCCTGATAGGTTGATGGGCATCGAGGCCTATATGCTTCTGTCTGCATGCCTTGGGCATGGTCATACTTGTAGGCATACATTATTTTTTCTGGAGCCAAGGTAGTGGGATATAAGGAAGTGAGCAGTCCAGTCCTCACTGTGTTGTGTGGCTTGGTTGCTTACCCTTTCAAATTACTTTCAAGTAGGTCTATGTATCTATCAGGTGTAAAGACACCCAGGAGCTCATGAGCAACACCCAGAGAAGGAAGGAATGCTAAGAAGAAAAAAATATGAAACGTAGGGTGGGCCATTAGGAGGGAAGGGCAGAAAAGTGAATGGGGTGGGGGAGACAGAGATGGATCCCCACCAAACCATGCGAATGTGAGAACTGGCTAAAGCCCAATCAAAATTTCCAGGGAGTACATGCTCAACCCATGAGGCCCAGGCTTGTTCAAACTTTTGCATAGTGTTCTTGCGGTTTGCAGCCATCTTCTTGTTCAGTAAGGACTATGTCCTTGTTTAACTTGTATGATTGTTGGATTAAAGGACCACTATTCTTTAGCCACTACTGGATTAGCTGTAAAGAAGGTTAGGAGGCAAAATGGTGAATTTGTACATTTTGCTGTTTTCAAGCTCAGCAGACCTCTGGGTGTCTTGTGGATATCCTTACCCAAAATGGTGTAAGCCAGTTGGTACACAAGTCCAGCATCTCCTCCTGATTTTTGGGGCAGTTCCACCAGATATTTAGGGGAGTTCCTGGGGATTGACATCCTGAAACATTTTGTCAGAGGAAGTGAGTGAGTGAAGAACCTTGCTAGTCGACGTGGAACCATGTACCACCATATAAGTAGTTTGTAGTGTGATTACTTAACCCCCCCCCCCCCGATGCATTGGTGGAACAGTAGGCTGTTGTTTGCTAAATTTGGTTTCATGCCAGGTATTTTTCCCTTCATTTTTCCTATGGATGGGGCTTGGCCACTTGTCCTTCCAAGAGTGAATTATACATTAAGGATATGATTCCTCTAGATGAGTGTTCATGTAGGTAAATATGTTCACGCTTTGTGAAAGCCTACAGAAATGAGGATTCATAGTAGGTAATTGGAAACCCACCATGGGAATCAGCACGGTTCTAAATATCCTGGAAGGAACATAGGATTACAAATGAGGATGAAGAGTGGGGCAAAAACGCACATTACTTTACTTTGAGTACTTTGTCCTGTCCCAGATTTAGATGAAATGGCGTACAACTCTACTGAGACCGAAAGGAGAAGACTAGCTGTGTTGTGGTAGGCCAAAAGCTTGAAGATTTGCACAGCAAAGTAGTTGGTTATATGTAGGACCATGTCCCCCACCCTCTTCACCAAGTTTACATTGAAGTACTATTCTTCAGTTTGTTTCTTTTGATGAAGATTAGTAGTTTCTGGATGATAGGCAGTATATAAGGGGGTATTTTAACAGGGAGGATACATAAAGGATCTAATAGTTTGGGTAAGAAGTTCTTTTTGACTGCCACTATACCTCCCAGCAAGAAGAGTTGGTATTTTTTCCATGGTTTGGTGAGAAGCCAAAGTTGTTTCAAGAAGGCAGATAAATTGCTTCTTGTATCATATAAAGATGGTGATAAATGAAGTGAGATAAACCCCTATGTATGGTAGACTTGTAATTTCCCAATGAAAAAAAAGGTGTTTTGCAGTTTGGGAAATGAATGGTTGGTTTAGACTAACAGTGAAGGCTTGACATTTCTTGATGTTGATTTGGAGCCCGGTAAAGCCTTAGAAATTCTTCAGTGCAGAGAGAAGGGTTGTTAAGGAAACCAAAGAATCAGTGAGAAATGTGAAGACATCTGTGCAAAGACATGTTTGTAGCCTGGCAGCTCTGGACCTTAGGTGTTCAGATTAAGGCAAATGGCCAACACCAATGGTTCAATCACCAGAGCAAATAAGATTGGGAAAATGGACGGCTATGATTGATGCCACTGCCTATGGTGGTGTTAAGGAGATATTGCATGGATTTAAAGTGACAGAAAGCCTTTTGTCCTTTTTAGTAGGGAAGGGGGGGTGTAGACCTTGTACATTAAGCGATAAAATATTTTGACAGCCATGATTATGAGAGAAGGGAGAAAATGTGCATCTTGAGTTGGTAGAGGATTCACCCCTGATGTGCAGGAAAGGGAGGTGAGCAGTAAGAAGTAAAGCAGTTGGATTCATGGTTAATTGAGCAGTACCACGTAGCAACAGAGATTATTAATGGGGTATTTTTTTTTTATTTTTTTAAAAGGTTATGTTCAGTGACAGGGGGTCAGTATTATTCATATATTCCTCTGTAGGACACTGTAATAGTTGGAGATGTGGTTTTAACCATGAACATCACTGAAAATGAGGAAATTGGATGAAATGAATATGGGTATATAAGTATTGCCCAGTGGCTGTTTTCAGCCACTTAATGAGATTGACCAGCACTTTTGCACTATTGGTTACATAAGGTGGTTAACCTCCTGAGCTGCATAGAATGCATGAATCTGCCCTTAAAACCACTTGGAACTTGGTCTCACAACCTTCTATCTCAATGTTTTACTATTGGCAGGGACATTATGGGGTTTATTTACTAAAGCTGGAGAGTCCAAAATCAGACTCCCTTCTGCATAGAAACCAATCAGATTCTAACCTCAGCTTGTTCAATGAAACTTTGGCAATGAAACCTGGAAGCTGATTGGTTTCTATGCAGAAGGGAGTCTGATTTTGGACTCTCCAGCTTTAGTAAATAAACCCCTATGTGTCATAATTTATAAATCAATATGGAAGAGCAGGGGGAGCTGCATGGGTCAAACTTGACGTTTCTGAAGCTAATAGAATGGTTTCTTGACTTCCAGGGTGCTCCGGTAAAGGGTATGTGCAGGCACACCTTGAAAACTACTTGACAGGAGTGCTTGCAAATTGTAAAGCCCAACTCTATGTTTGAAAGACCCCTTTTTTTCCCCAGTTTGTCTTCATCCTGAATCCCACTCTTTACCAATTTTTTAGGGAATATATGGCATGCATACCTTACATGTTGCGGTCTTCCACACCGTCACACATTGGAGCAGTGGGCAGTCCTTATTGGTGCATACAAGGAAGCTGTTCTGTGAGTACAGTTCTTTGCAGCAGTACACTGTGAGGCCAGGCTGGTGTGATGATGGCCTTCCAGGGGTGTGTTCATGACAGCTTATACTCACAGGAAGGGGTTGAAAGATGCAAATACTGACATTCATTTTGTATAGCACATTAGCAAACCTTAGTTTTAACAGATCACAACACACAAATGTAAGCCATTTGTGCTTTGTGGTAGGCTGGGAATAGAAGGTACAGGTAGGTATTTTGGACAACTGTGAAGCATTGACAGACCATGCAGAATGAATAAGTTTCTTTCCCATAGCACACAGTGCATGGTTAATTGTAAGTGACAGCCAAGTGCACATGCCTAGTTCACTGTGATGGGACCTGCCTTTTAGCACATCACAATGCACATAGTTGTGCTGCGAAAAGTGTGCGTGTGTATTTAGATTAGTTGTTGCGAGTTGGCAGCTGATTCAAAATGAATGGGCTGTCTAACTATACCATGCAGAGTGTAGTTAATTTTGAATGCCCACCAAATGCACACCACAGCTGGCCTGCATTTTTAGGGCATCAATGCACAGAACTAAATAATCTGTATGTTGTGTGCTGGAAAACCAAAACCTACTTGAGTCTGTTGTGGTGTTTTTGCAGCCTGTTTAGAGTAAATGTGTTGCCTTACTGCAGCACAAGTTTAACACACAGTCTGATTACAAAAAAAAAAAGTTTCTCTCTCAAAATATTTTTTTCAATACAGACTAGAAATAAAATTTAAATGATATACTGGATGTTTAGGGCAAAACTGTTCTCCAGTTCCTTAGGTTGGCACAAGGTGTTTTGTAGATTTCTGGATCTTCCCCTGCTTTGATTTTGTATCTTAGCTTCAGGCTGACCAATGTTGTCAAGGCCATCTATAATGACACTATAGCCAGTCCATTCTAGTGGAAAAAAATACTTGCCTTGAGAGCAGAGTGGGCTTAGTTTAAGATACACCTGGCTAGAGTTAGATCTAATCTTGGCTTCTTTTAGTAAACCCACATTTTTTTTTCATGTCATTGGCTTTAAAATGAATGAATTTTTCATTGAGAGATATATAAAATGTTCATAGATATCAAAAATAAACTTGTATTTTTTTGATATTTCCTTCCATTTCCTTATTCAGAGTAGCAACGGCATTACAGCCAATTTATCCTCACCTTTGTCACTCTCACTGTAAATTGTTCAGTTTTTCTGTGGGAAGAAGCTGTGCTCTGCTGTAAGCCTGTTTTTGAATGAACACATCCCCAGCATCCCTTTAGACATGCCCAATCCTCCTTGCCGGCCACTAGTTGGTACAGACACTAGGTGTGCAGTCAATCCTTCATCTTCAGTGTTGCCACTCTCACTGCCAATATTCAGTTTACCTCAGGGAGGAAGCCATATTCTAGTCTGCTCCCAAACATTATATGAAAACACACCCCTGGCATCCCTTTTGATGTGCACATTCCTACATTTTGGCCTCTGTGGTGTAGAAATTGGCTGTACAATCTGTTTTAGAAGCAGGTCTGTTGGGGTGTAATCAAGCAACTGATAAGCAGATTGCACAGCTGAGGTCTGCATGAACCAGTGGTCAGCAGAGAGGAACATGCATGTCTAAAGGGATTCTGTCTATGCTTTTTTTCATATAACACACATGCTCAGAGTTTTATCACATGCTGAAACAAATCTCCACCCCATTTTCAAATCCTGTGGTGCGGGGATTGATTATACCATGTGGCTGCAACATAAAAAGAAAAAAAATATTTGAGCTTAATTTTAATTGGCTAGTTATTGTTAGAGTCCTATTTAATGTTCATATACAATAAGTAGTTCTAACAGCATTGTATACACTTTAACTACACTCTGTCGATAAGTGAACATATCTGCTAAGTGAGATGACTCTTTTGTTTTTACCATATTACCCATAGGGTCTTCTCCCTAGCATCGAACCTATGAAAAATTGCCTCTGACAACAGTGACAATAAAAGAAGTAGTAGACTCTGTGATCTGTGTAATCGGATCATTATTGGTGATCAGGAGTGGGCAGGTAAGTATCTACATTTTCACCTTCCATTTGATGGGTCTGGAAGCTTAAATGTTGAAGTATGACAGCACAGAACACTTTGTGTGTCCCTTTCTTGCAGCACACACAAAATCTAAGTCACATCAACATGCAAAAAAGAGAAGGAAACTGGAACCAGATGAGAAAGCTATAGATAAGAGGAAGTTGGAGTGTAGCCCTGATACAGAGCAACTCCAACATGGGTCATCAGATGGGACTTTCCATTCTGCCTCAGACTGTGTGTATAACAAACCAGAAAAGAGACTATGTGAACACAAGGATACAAACTCTCATCCTTCAGCAATAAGTACCATTAAATACTCATGACCACTTTCTTCCTATTTGTTTCACCATAATCATAAAATGAGGAATATAATAAATTTACAGTATTCTGTGTTCAAATGATTTATACAATATGCTTCTTATCTTTGATTGCTAATCTTCTTCAGGTTAACTGGTTTCCCTTCCTAATTACGTGTACTTCAGTAGACTTCTGACCAAAATGGCCAGTTATTAGCTATGTGAGCAGCCATCACACTCTAATCCGTCTGGATAACTGACTCCAGCACACACATCTTAATGGGGAACTAAACCTATTGATTTAACAGTTTAAAAAAATGGTTACATTCCTAGCATTCTGGGAATACTGTCACGTTTGCTTGTGTTGTCATCCAAACTGACAAACCATAAAGTGGCTGGTGTCATAACTGATCATATGTTCTGCACCATGACTGTTCCCGATCAAACAGAGGCTAAAATGTCAGCTTCCTTGGCTGTAAAGGATAGGAGGGTTTAGTTTTGGTTTAATGTTCACTAGCATTGCCTACAAGACATTTCCTGCAACATCCCTGAAATCTAGTATTAACAGCTTCTCTATTCTGTGGCAGTCTCACACCTGCATTTACGATGAAATTAATTTTCCTTACCAGGATAATGTATAGATTATACTTTAACCTCCCTAGCGGTATGATTATTTCAGATTTTTGGTGCTGAAAGCGGTACCATTATTTTGCATGGAAATATGTAGTTTTTTTATTGTAGGCTGTAATATTTAGGAATAACTCACTGAAATCTGTCCGAACAAGAGTCTAGTAAACATCCCGGGTAGGATAAAATTTGAAACACGAAATCATAAATTATAATTTAATAAATAATCATAAAAAATAATATAATAATAAATTTTATTCAATAATATAATCAAACCAAAAACACTGAAATTTGAAATAGAGCGCCAAGTTCGTACATTGCTGAGCAAAGTCGCAAAATCGTTTTCAGCATCTGTGGACGAATTTCCCCACAAATAATTATCACTCAATTCTGCAAATGGTTCTGATTTACTATCGCTGTTCTCTAGCTGATCTAAACCCGCTTTTGACCTAAAGGGACGCTTTTTGGACGCCATGGACATTTCTCAGTTTCCAGGCAGAAAGAACAGTAAAAATGCAGGCAGGGCACAGGACAAAGCACTAGGGACAAAATGTATGTGAAATGGGTTGAAACAGCAATGTTTTACTAATGTAAAATTTGTTTGGAAAAAAATTACATTTTTTAAAATTTTCAAATTTCCCGCCGCCCGTACGTCCCGACGTCACAGGGACCGGAACACAGAAGCCGGATGCCGGCATCGGCCGGAGGAGATAGCCGGGGATGCTGCAGGGGACACATCGCGGGAGCGCAGGACAAGGTAAGCTCTGCAGGGAATCCCTATGCAGCTCCGCACGGTAAGCCCGAGTGTAGCTCGGGGTTACCGCTTATGGTACTGACATTTTACCCCGAGCTACACTCGGGAATACCGCTAGGGAGGTTAATACAAATTCACTTCGTTTGTGTCTCCAAACATTTTTTTAAAGTTTTGATTAGGGTAGATGATTGTAGCCGAAATAATGCACTTTTATTCAAGCACTGATGTCCACTTCCTAGGCACTGCATCATACATCAGGTATGACCAGCTGCACAAGAAATATTCCAACAACCCCCAATACTGACTTTCAGGCAACCAACCAACCTAAGACATAAACTAATCAGCAGGAAACTTCATTCTGATTATGAAGTCACAAATAAAGGAACCAAGCTCTGCAATGAAAACCACTGCAAAACTGCAGCCTAATCAATCCTTTAAAAAATGTCACACAGAAAAGGGACTTTCAATATCACAGGACCATATGGCTGTATCTCCAGTAATGTTGTGTACTTTATCTAATGCAAAAAATGCAGCAAAGGGTCTTAAGTTGGAAAAACAGGACAGAAACTACAAACAAGGATGTATTTACACAGACACACCATTAAAGAACAGGAGGGTGGTTTATCCACACCTGTGGGACATCACTTCTCACAAACAGACCGCACTATGGAAGACGTAAATGTTTTAGATCTTAAAGGGAACTTCAAAACTACTCCAGAAAAGAGAACTTTTGAACTAAAAATTATCTATATGACACAGATAATAGACTAAATGTGGACCTCGGTTTTCTAAATCACTATCCAACAGTTTTACAACCCCCAATCTCTCTGACTCTGACTCTTCTCTCTCCCTTCCCAATCCATAGCCCTTTCCCTATCTTATCTCACTATCTACTATGTTTTGTTTTTTTCCCCAGAGATTGTCTTAGCATTCTGCTAAAACTTTGTGTATTAGTACTGCTTTGACCTTGAAGAAGGAGGTACATCCCGAGAGCTTGTACTGAAAATTTGAATGTTAGTGCAAATTTTAAAATCTAGTATCATGGACAGTGCCCTATAACCATTCCCATACCCAACTGAGTAATTTTTATTATTTATTTTTTTTCTGATTGCATACTATTGGGGGAGATTTCACTTCCTGTTCCTGAGACAGAACAGGAACTTAGAAGAAATCTCCCCAAAGTGAAGGAAATTCCCCACTTAAACAGTTGCTCCTCACCTTTTTTTGTTCTAAAATTTGGGATTTTCCATCACTTTATGTGGTCACAAGTACAAATAGTTGCATCTCTTGTGTTCAAGCCCACTCTATCAAGAATGAGAACAAAAAAAAGTTTTGCTGGTATACTTTAACTTTCTTGTACAAGTGGAAAATTCTTTTACAGAGGCTTTTCACTAAACATATACTTTAAAAAAAAATCTTCTCTATGCTTATTACATATTGCTGTACCTCTCTGGTCAGCACGTGATACATTGTCTTCCTTGGTTGTTTAGGGAGCACACTGCTTTGTAACTCCTCTGAAGCCAGCCCTAGGTGGATCGGATTTCAGCTGGTTTACTAGGGACCAGCCAATATTCTATCCATCTATGGGCAGGCTGGTTGTACCAAATTTAATCCAGCAATGAGCTGGATGGATTTTTTTTGCATGCGAACTGTGCCAGTGGCTATAACCACTAGCAGTGATCATTGTATTCTGCCAGCAGGGAAGGCTCCCCGCCTGTAGAACACAATAGCACTGTGGGAGGGTTTCCCCCATCAACACTGTTGATGGGGAATCAAGTGATTTTTTTTTTTTTTTTTTCCCACCACAAGAGAATTGTACAATGTATGGCTTGCCTAAGTAATTTTGTTGTTTTTATCTGAGGATGCAGAGCTATTGCTGAATATGTAACTGTCGGCTTACACTATATTTTTTTTTTTTTTTCCTACACTTTGTTTTTATACATAAAATGTGAAATGTATTATTATAACATAAAACTGTTTGTTTGTTTTTTTTGTGTGACCTTATTGATACACTTTTATAGTGTTCTGCAGCTGTAGTGAACCTGTGTGTATACATCAGTTTTTTTCTATAGACTTCTCCCCCCCCCCCCCCCCCCCCAGTCCCCCAGATAGTGGATTTGGTCAGTAATCTCTGTGCTCCAATTACAGAGCACAGACACTGTAGCTCTGTAGCTGGAGAGACATTTATTAATTATCCACTGATTACTGCTTGCCAATCCCTGAGCTCTGACTAATGTAGATAAGTAGCTCATTAGAGTCTGACATCTGCAGAGAGTTACAATATGCACATGGTCTTTTTTGTAATAACGTTAAAGGAAAGTTTGGGATATAGGGCCCTGAACATTGTTTATCAGTCAAAATCTTTCAAGAAAAGAGCATATTCTGATATCCCAAAATAAGATTAAGGAGGCTCTTTAGAGATTTGGCCTATACCCAGGAACTGTCCATCTTGCAGATAAGACTTTTGTAACCTATTTTTCACCTTGCATGGCATAAGCAATTAAAAAAAAGCATTATTGGGGCTGCAAATCATGGGCCTGTAACACATGGAAATAAGCAAGTAAGCTACTGCTTTCTGCTGTCTTTTGCGGCTCATGCACTTTCAACATGCACATTGTAGCACCTCTGTCTGCAGTTTAGTCATATAATACATTTGTATTTGGTGTTTGTGTGTGCTTTAAAGAATATGAAGCGCAGCAAATGTGGTAACCTAATCGGTTAGATTGTGTGTATGCACCTTCCATTTTAATGGAGGTACATCCTGTCACAGCTCAGTTTTAACTTTTTGCATTATTATACAGGATTTATATAGCGCCGACAGTTTGCATGGTGCTTTACAAAATAAATACAAATTGGTACAAGAGAAAATCGAAGGGCTCTGCTTGTTGGAGCTACAATCTAAGATTGAAGATAAAGGGCTTGCTATCCCTATAGTACTCTCCACTCCTTGCATGACCTCCTACACTCTAGCTCCCTTGATCCTCCTCCCATGCTCATCTCCAGGACTTCTCCAGAGCCTCCCCCCATCCTCTGGAACTCTCTGGTGATCTCTGAAAACCTATCTCTTCAGGAAAGCCTATCCTGCCTTCAGCTAATAATGGAATCTTCTAATCCTCCTACCAGTTCATCCTCCACAGTTATTACCTTTTGCACCACTAGCCCCTCCCTCTTAGATTGTAAGCTCCAAGGAGATCCCTTGTCTCCTCCTCCCATGCCTGTCTCCAGGACTTCTCCAGAGCCTCCCCATTCTCTGGAACTCTCTACCCCAATCTGACTACTGCCTACTCTGCTCACTTTTAGGAGATCTCTGAAAACCTATCTCTTCACGGAAGCCTATCCTGCCTTCAGCTAATAACCAAATATTATATTTCTCCCATCAGTTCGTCCCCCACAGTTATTACCTTTTGTACCACTAGTTCTTCCCTTTTAGATTGTAAGCTCCAAGGAGCAGGACCCTCCTAACCCTCTTGTATTGAACTGTATTGTTGCTGTATTGTCTCCCATTATATTGTAAAGCGCTGAGCAAACTGTTGGCGCTATATAAATCCTGTATAATAATAATAATTGGACAAGCCAATTACACTGAGAAACTAAAGCCTACTACACACGGGCCAAATGTTGGACGGCATCAGCCGGTTCAAGAGAA